ATGAGTGGTCCAGGACATAGTCTGGTGTACGGTAGGATACCTGGATATAAATAAATAAAAAACAATCATGCCACTTGTTAATGTACAGCCTTTGTTTTTAAGATTTGATAAAGACAAAAACTGTCAAATATTTTTTTAAAGATTTAGGCTGGAAGTTACAACTTCAGTTAGAGGAGTAATAAAAATAACTTATCATATCTGTATACGAGTACTCATCGACTCGTCTTGATAAGCCAATTACAGTGTCTCTTAATAAAGTTTACGTTCTCATTCTTCTCGAGTCCAACACGTAAATGTATTACTACTAATTTATAACAAAGAAAAATTACAGACATAAGATCTCTATATAATATTTGGATTCTCAATCTTTAGGTGTTAAATTGCCATTCTTAGTAAGGGAAAGGGAATAGAGAATGGACAGTTACGTTGCCAAAATACAAATACTGGGATATGTTACATTCAAAGGTAGAAATTTTCCCTTCAAAACCACTCCCATTTAATTGAATTAATTGATTAGTTCAGTCCAATACAACTCTTATATGAGTTTTAAATGAATTAATAATCAACACCTTTGTTAATTGAAATAGAACACTAGAAAATTCATATTATTATTATTATTATTATTATTATTATTATTATTATTATTATTATTATTATTTCTTGAATTGGATCCGTTTGAGGAGGTTTGGTATTTAAGCATTTAATTAAAATAATAATAATAATAATTGTAAGTGTGCATAAAATTACTAAAATGGTCATTGATTATATTGATTTCCTTATGATGATGATGATGATCATCGTGATAGTATGATGAAATTTATCTTTATACTATAGATTAGCCCTTGTTTTGTGCGAATTAAAATCAGATTTTTAGTATATTTCGATAGAAGTTGATGAGATGTGTGATTGAAAAATTGTGAGATCCACGAAATATGTGGTTGAAATTAATTGTTGATTTTGATTAAAATCTAAATTTTAATTTCTATCAAATATGGACTTAATTACAACTATTTTTGATAAATTTTACTTTTTATTCATACGTTAAATAAAATTTAT